TTATGAAATCATTAAACTTCCTCATGTTGATGGTAATCCTTTGCCTCACCTTATTAGATTCCTCAACAAATCTTATTACATCAAAGTCCCCTCCAATACAACACCCTACAAGCCCCGTATATCTTTTAATTCTTTCCACAACTCATTTCTCTTTATATATCCATTAGGCCCATAAATGTTTGTTAAAATCCATTCAAATCCATCATCTACTTGTTGAAACTTAACTGACATCGTGAATTTCCCCACCAGTTCCTCCACTCCTTGCACTACATCCTTCTTCAACATGACCACTAATACTCCCGAGGAACCCCATGACAAAGACATTGCCCATCTTATACCCCTAGCCCTCATAATATTTCTAGGCCAACTGTCATCAAACAACAACAGCTTAGATTCATAAAAAAGAACAATATCCAGATTCTCTTTCCTAAGTAAAATTCTTTTTGTTGTTGCTGGTTTATGTTTGGGTGGAAATTATACATCTAAGGATCTTGGGTCCTCTAGGTAGTTTTTAAGGAAGGTTTTCCTTGTTTTTCCTTCCGTTTCTCCCCTATTAATGTCCTTTATTTTTTTCAGCTTCAATAAATGCTTTACCAATAAAAGAATCAAAAGGCTGATGTAAAACAGAAAGGTACCAAAAGAAAAACAAAAACAAAAAGCTCAATCTCAATGGGCACTTTCTTTTTTTTTTATCAGTAACAGGAAACTTTCATTAAATTATAAGAAGATTAAAATACAAAGGTGGGGGGAGGTAAACCCTCTTACCACCCCCCCCCCCAACAATAAGATTACATAGTAGCCCAAAACAAATGGCTTCTCCCCACCCCCTGTTTGGCCAAAGCATCTGCAAATGAATTATCACATCTTTTAACCCACCGGACAAGCACATCCATTCCTTGGGTTAGCCACTTGAAATGCCTTTTTCCATTAATGCATGCCTATAACCTGTCGTTTGCCTTCTCTATCCAGCCAATTACCACTTGCGAATCGCCTTCAATAATCAACTTATTTATATTCAACTCCTTAGCCCTTTTTACCCCCTCCAGGAGGGCCTGAATCTCTGCTCTCAAAGAGTCTCCAACTCCAATTGGTCCAGAAAAAAGAGCTATAACTCAACCTGCCTCTGTTCTGAACACACCACCAACCCCTGATGGCCCTAGGTTTCCTTCACTGCTCCCATCAAAGTTGAGTTTGATAAAGCCTTCCATCGAAGGGATCCACTTCGGAAGGACATTCAGTCTACTGGGAGCCGAGACTGCTATCCCCTGCCAATTATTCATGATGGCCTCTATTGAAACATCCTCAAAAAGATTCATTGTTTTTACCCATTGTGCTACTCTCAATGAGATTACTTCTATAATTGTGTCCCTACTTCTTTCTTCTTCAGCAAATATCCTTTGGTTCCTTTCCTCCCAAATCGTCCAACAGACTGCTGCCTTAGTGCATCTCCAAAAGATTTTTCCCCTCTTTTTGATCCGGCAACCAACTACATAAGTGAAGAGGCTACGGATGCTTGATGGAGGAGTCCACCTGCAACCAAATAAAGAGAGAAACCACTTCCAAATAGAAGAAATAAAAGGGCAGGATATAAGTAAATGAGAACAAGACTCACCATCAGCTTTACAAAGGGTACACCAGTGCGGGGACAAGCACCAAAAAGGCTTCTTTTTTTGAAGGAGATCGAAGGTATTAATTCTTTCCAAAGCTATTTCCCAGCAGAGTGCTCCAACCCTAGGTGGGACCGGTCTTCCCCACACTTATTTAGAAGGGAAGGGAAAGGCAAGAGTAACAGAAGAGTGGGCCAGGGCACTGAAAAAGGAGGGACAACTGAAAGAGCCAGAAGAAGAGAGGGTCCAAATTTGGGAATCCCCCTTAATCAGATCTAAAAAAACCTTTTGGAGAACCTGGATCAAGGACCACACCAAATCCATCTCAGAATCTCTAAGACCTCTTCTGAAACCCAAATCTCAATTAATCTGGAGTCCTGGACCAATGGAAGAAACTAAAGATGAGGCAGTTAAGTTTTATACCTAGAAAGGGAGAAAAGGGAAGGAAATTGATTTTTAAGTGGTGTCTCCCCCACCCATACATGCTCCCAAAATCTCACCATATTTCCAGAACACAAATTGTACATGACGAAGGGTAGAAAACAAGGAAGAATAGCATGGATGGCTTTCCAAGGTGTTGTTGCTGAAGCTCTAGCCGAAATTCCAGCATCCCAACCATTTCCCGTCAGCCCGTGAATGCTCTTTATCACTTTTGTCCACAATTTGTCTTGGTCCACCGGAAATCTCCATAGCCACTTACCCAGTAAGGCTGTATTCCTCTTCTGAATACTCCCAATTCCTAGACCCCCTAACTTCTTACTTCTAATCACCATTTCCCATCTCACCCTATGATCCCTCCTCTCCTCACCTGGCAGATTTGCTAATGTTGATTTGATCAAAGTAATTCTCCCACCCATCGATAGATAATTTCTATTCTAGGAGGCAAGCCTTTTTGAAAATCTATCCACCACCGGGTTCCAAAAATTCACACTTCTAGGGTTGCCTCCCAAAGGTAAACCCAAATAAGTCATAGGCCATTGGCATACCTCACACCCCAAAATTGTTGCACATTCATATACTTCATCTTCCATGATACCTGCTACACAAGTCTTATTGAAGTTGACTTTCAGATTTGTCATTTTCTCAAATACTTGTATCACCTCCTTCATATTCCTCACCCAACTCAAATCACCTCCCTCACAGAATAGAACAATATCATTAGCAAATTGCAAATGAGTGATAGGTACTCTTTCTCTTCCCACTCTCCAACCTCTCACCAAACCCCTCAAATATGCTCTTTGAAAAAGAATACCCACTTTTGCTACTAGAGTGAACAAGAAAGGAGAAAGAGGATCCCCCTGTCGAATTCCTCTAATGGCTGGAAAATGGTCAACCACTAATGCCATTAACCAAGAGTGAGTAATGACAGGTACTAATGCAACCCTTAATCCACTTACACCACTTATCTCCAAAGCCAAAATTCCTCCCTACTTCCACTAAGAAATCCCAATCCACCAAATCATAAGCTTTCTCTAAATCAAGCTTGCAAACCAATCCTTTCTTTCCATATCACTTTAGCTCCTCCACTGGCAATAAGAATTTGATCCAAGATCTGCCTATCCTACACGAAGGCCCCTTGATTTAAAGAAATAATAGAAGGAAGCACTGATCTAATTCTTCTTGATAGCACCTTGGCAATGATTTTATAAAGACTATGAACAAGACTAATGGGATGGGCACTTTCTATGTAACCATGGGCATTCAGGCATTGTAAGGTATTAACAGGCTTCCTAAGTGATACAACTAGGAGTGGAAACGAATCGAGCCTTTCACGAGCTATTTGAACTTGGCTCGGTCTAAACCAAGCTTTGAGCTCAATATATAGGCTAAGGCTCATTTCATAATCAAGCCAAGCTCAAGCCTAATATAGCTTGGTTCGTAAGGCTCATGAGACTAATCGAGCTTTTATACATATAAAAAAAATAATATACATAAATATATAAATAAAAAATAAAAAATATTATATATACAAGATTTTTGTTTTTTATATGTATAATAATACCTAGTTTTTTATAATTCTTAAATTTTTCTATGTAAAATAAAAAAAATATTTTGTATATTTATAATTTTCAAATTTTATAGGAAGCTTGGCTCACAATCAAGCTCGAGCTCGAGCCTCATGGTTTTCTGGCAAGCCAAGCTCAAATAGCCAAATATTTGGCTCAGCTTGGCTCGAATCCACCCCTAGATACAACTTTTCATACTCACATGTTTCATCTAGTCGAGTGAGGGAAGGAAAACCGAATAAAGTAGAACTTCTTTCTTTGCTCCAAGTGCTCAGTTTCTCCTTTTTCTTTGAGTTTTGAGTAGCTAAACATTGAGGGCCATGCTCCTTGCCTTTGGAGACTAAACCTAATCCCATCAAAGAGACAAGATCATTGTTGGAGATGCCACAGCCCCTTCTTCCACTGGACCTAAGAGCTGCTAATTCCATGGCCAAATCGGTTTTAGTTTTTATCCTTATGAATGCTTTCTTGTGCTTGTTGGCATAGGGTTTTTATATTGTATTTTAATTTTTAAGTAGGAACTCTTCTAGTTTGAGGTTCCCTTCTTTGCAAATTGCCCTTTTGCTCTTTTAGTCATTAGGCTCTGTTTGTTTGCAGTGCAGTTTCATTTGAGTGGCACAAATGCATGGGAATGCAAGTTTTGGTCAACCTTTTGTTCATACTTTGCTTAGTCTGTGTGGGAGGAGTAAAATAGGAAGCAAAATAATGTGATCCCCTCTTTATTTGGGAGAGAATGAAAATCATAGAAAGGGATACAAATTTGTGTCAAAAATAGGTGCATAAACATGGGAAGTGCAAATTCTACCCCAGCTAGGGGTTCAAATTGGCACAACAAAGAAAATTGCAAATCTGAACTGGGTGCAAGCTTTGCACCTGGTTTGGATTTGAACTGCAAATAAATGGATCCTTGATAAATTTCAATTACTGAATAAAAAAGACTTCAATCCACTCTTGAATCCTAAAACTCTAGAATCAAACATCACCCACCATATACTCCACATAGAATCCCATATACTGATTGTAAGTGTATGATCATGGAGAATAGCAGCATTTTAAGATGAGACTCCACAAAAAGGAAAAAAAAAAAGGATTTCCAGAATCCTGCATGAAAAAAGTTATGGTCAAGGCACAAGAAAATCCTCAGGCAATTCTCATAATTGCTCTCCCTGCCACTTATGCAGACATGACATCTATGTCCTTCAGTTAAAATATGATGAACCCATCAATACCATATGGAAATTTAACACATTTCTTGCATTTAGACTTTCAACCCACTCCCTTGATAGAAGGAAAAAAAAAAACCATTAAATATGGCATATTCAGAAACTTCCCAGTAGAAAATACCAGCCTAAAACAAATGCAATAAAAATAAAATCGGGCCATTCACCTTGAAGGCGGGTTCAGCTTCTTGTTGCCCTGGTTTGTCAGATATTTCCATCACCCACTGAAGGCAATAAGCCAGATATCTCTTAGTCAAATTTGACATGTCAACATTTATTGATGGGTAATAGCATAACTCATAATTAGAGGACAAAAGTAGATATTAGTTGGATGAAACTATTACCAGGGGAATTCCTTTGACGCTCTTTCCAATGCTGATTATTGATTGCAATAATCCCTCAAAGAGAGAAACAGAGCACAAGTCAGCAACTTTACACATCAACACATAATAAAAACACTGAATGTTGGAAATGCTTAAATAAAACTAGATACTACTTGGATTATTCCCAAGAAACGTTAACTTAGGTGGCAATTTGAACATAGGGCTGTTCATCATTATGGCCTCATTTTGGAATCCGTTCTTTGTTCTCTTGCATTGATATAGATGCAAAAACAGTCAGAGTGGTGAAAAAAAAAATCAGGTACTAGTTGATGTCAATAAAGAGATGGTATTAGTCTTCAGGTGCAACTGTGAGTTAAATTTATTCTTTGCAGATGGAAGACATCAGGAACGCATGAAGTTCAATCTTTTTCAAAAACTGTTAAAACATGGCCATCCTATATGCTTAACATGGCGATAGCTACCGATTTTATTGTTGCAATTAGAAGATTGGGCAATCCATCTATCACTTTTTTTTGGATAAATAACAAGGAATTTCATTAAAATTAAAGAAGAAATATACATACAAACAGAGGGAGGTAAGCAATCTTAACTCCCCTGCAATCAGCAAAACAAAATTACAAGATTAGAAATGAGCCCAAAACAAAGAATCCTAATCACCCCTTGCTTTGCTAGCCCATCCGCAAATGAGTTAGCAGATCTCTTCACCCAACTGAATTTTATCTCAATATCTTTTGCCAGCCATTTAAATTTTTTCCTTTCATTGTTGTAATTCCACATAGCAGTCTTGTCTTCCTTTAGCCATCTTACCACCACCTCCGAGTCCTGTTCAATTATCACTATGAAATGAACATTTTGTTCAAGAATGCAATTTTGAAATTGCTTATCAAAAATATTTGAATAAACTACAGTTGTCATTATCTTTGTAAATAAAGTTGTTGGTTTCTTTCTCTAAATAAATTATAAATTGATCCATTATACTAAATAGTAAGTGAATGATTAGCTTGGCAATTTAGTAAGCTCATTATTTCTTCTTGAATAGTATACTATAAGTTGCAGTAAAGGATGTTTGGGTTGAGCTGGATTCCTCCAAGGATTGGAGCCTTTTGTTGGGAAGCCTTCCTAGAAAGGTGTAATACTTGTGACTTACTCCAAAGAAAAAGGTCTTTTGGTACTTGACTCCGAATTGGTGCATTCTTTGCAAGGCTAATGGTGAAAGCTCCTACCACTTATTAATTTCTTGTCCCTTTGTTGCTGTTATTTGGGACTGGTTTCTTTCCTTATTTGGTTGCAGGTGGACCCCACCACCAAATATTCAAAGCTTGTTTAGCTCTTTGTTCCTTCAATGGCCAAAGGAAAGGGGAAGGATTATGTGGAGGTATGTGAGGGTTTCTATTTTCTGGACTCTATGAGAGGAAAGGAACGCCAGAACTTTTTCTGAAAATGAAAGAAGTAAAGAAACTCTTATTGAAGTAATAACAGTTAGGGTGGTGCACTAGTTAAAATCCTTGGACCTGTTTGATGATGCTTCTACGGATATGTTGTTGAATAGCTGGATGGAGGTGGCTAATTCTGCTCCTGCTGCTCTTCTGTTTGTCCTGTGTGGTCACCACTAGGCTATGGCTTTATAGTGTTAAACTTTGGTGGTAGTAGCGAGGGCAATCCAGGTCCATCAGGTGTAGGAGGGGTCTTCAAAGATGACGATGGGAAGGTGCTTGCAGTGTATTCAGGTAAAATTGGGGTTGAGGACTCTCTTAAAGCTGAAGTCTATGCTGTACTGAAGGGTATAAGGAAGACTAAGGAACTGAATTTACAAAAGTTAGTCGTTGAAGTGGACTCAAAGCTGGTGTTAAGCTGGTTACAAAAGGAAGGTGGACTGTGAAGATTAAATGGCTAACTAGGGGGCTGGAAATCCAATTTCAGTGGGTTAAGAGAACAGAAAATGCATTTGCAGTTGCTTTGGCAAACCAGTGGGTGGGAAGGGATCAAATGTTTTGGGCCGTTATGTAAGTTTTTTCTTTGCTGTCCTCTTGGAGAGAGTTAAGCCTTTTTATCTCTCTCTGGAGTGTTGTAACTAAATTTTTTATTAATCTAATGGTTTCCTGTTATTGATCAAAAAAAAAATACTGTAATTTGAAGTTCTACAAAGTTTCAAAATGATTTTTTTGGTTTATTTGGTTATGGATAAAATCAGACTCAGAGTTGTTACTTTTCAGCCTAATCCATACTGAAAGAATTGGTATGAGTAGTGTAGTCTGTCTTATTATATTGGATTTTTTTCATAAATTCAACTTTAGTATAATTAGGAACAAAGATCTCTCTCACATTTTACTTGGGGCCCATTTGTTTTTCGGATTTTGAGAGGGGGGAAGTCAGTCGATGGGATTTTGGTTCTCAGTGGACAAGATACCCTTGTTCTTTTTTCAGATTTATTTGGGGTCCATGGAAAATTCATTTTCCATGGCTAAAATTGTCCCTTGAGGGAAAGTTGCCAATGCTTGAATGGAACAAAATTGTCCCTTTTAATAATGGCTTTTTATGGCTAAAATCGTCATTGTCTTATTTACTTAGGAAACAAAAGAACATGGGCAAATGCACTTACCAGGGTAAGTTCCCACTTCCCAGGAGGATATTCCCATATGATATTGTTCTTTTGGTGTTCAACATCCAATATTACGAATTGTTTTCTTATTATACAAGAGTCAGATATAGCTTAATTATCCAACCCCACTTCCTTACCCATTGAAGTATTTCCACAGGCAATAGAGATTTATGTTCCTTAACATTTTAAGGTGTATATAGAATCAACAGTTATTTCCTACTGGTAAAAAAACGCAATCGTCGTTCATAAATTAGATTCTACCATTAATAGTGGAGAATTCAAAATGAAAAAAAAAAAAGTTTTCCTTAAAACACACCTGTAGATCCTCGAAATATTGCTACACCTTCGACCAAACTGCTTCACGGCTTTTTCAAGTTCGAAGTTTGTCATATACCCGCGAGCTAAATCTACTCTGAATTTGATTGTGCCACGACGATTATTACGAAGATAGTGCATACCTAGAAACTTAAATAAAATAAAACAAAACAAAATGAAAAGAAAAGAACAATAAATACCTTGGTGGAGACTTTGTTTGATCAAAGAAACGTCGGCGGAGGAAATCATGGTCGTGATCCGTAGAACCTAATAAAGACGGAAACCACCAACACGATCAGTATTCAAACGGCCAAGTCCACACCATTAAATTTAAATTATAGGTCGATATTCCACCCAAAAGATCAAAAACTCAATCTTTAGAGTCAAAATGACCGTGATTACTGGTCAATATCAAATTGAAATAAGAAGTGCGTCAAATATTAGATACGCAGCAATTAAAAAGATAGCAAGAGAATTCTGAAATCAAATTTGAGTCAGGCCGAGAGAGAGAGAGAGAGGATGACCTGAAAAACTTGAAGCCTGTTCTCCGCCTCTAGCTATTGCAGTACTAGCCAAAGAGAAAAAGAAGAAGGCAAGAAAGAGGGTATAGAAGGAAGAAGAGAACAAGATCTCCATTGAAGTCCGAAACCAATGCTCCTGAGCTTCGGTCGGGAGGGGCCCTGGAGTGCATTTCTCAATTAAACGCTCTCGGCGGAGAGAACATGATGGGTCAAACAGTGACTCCAGTCCCGGTCCAATTGATATCTGGTTTGATAGGTTCACTCGCCCAGGTCCTCGCTATCTCGGCCCGAGCAATTGGCTTGAAATTTGGGAACTTTATAATCGGACGGTCGGACCATACCAAACTAGGGATGCAACGGTGGGATGGGATTCGAATCGGATACTGTTCGAATTCGAATCCATCGGATTTTCTAAGAATATAGATTAGGTCAGGTAAATGAGATGAACACATTGAATAAGCAGTCAGAAAATTTTGTGACACTTCACACACTAGCGAAATTTGTCCCATAAAATACCAACCTGACTTTGGATTGCTCCTCACAGAGGGCGCCTTACAGTAACCTCACAGTACATCCCAGAGGAAATGTTTCTAATGCACGGTGGAATGTACCTGTAAAGTCGGTATGAGCGCCACGGTGGGATGTACCCTTAACATCTATTGAGTGCTTATCGAATGTGATTACAACGGTGTGCCTTTTCACGGCCCAGAAAATAAAGTGAATTGAATTTGATCCATTTATAACTAAATCAAATATGGATCCACCTCAACTAAATTTGATTTAAATATATATACATGTTCATAGTTTCAAGTTTCAAACAAGTTATTTTCAAATTGTTCGTGAAATATAATATAAAAGTGTTTTTTTATTTCATTTTATTAATAATGTATAATATTTTCACTTATAAAAAAATTATAATACTTTGACCATTTTAGTTTAATTATTAATATTAATATATCATTTCAATATCCAATTGCAATCTAAATTCATTCAAGTCCAATATAAATATGATGGATAAGATTCAATGCAAGTTTAAATAAAAACAAATCAAATTTGGATTTTGATTTGCAGTCAAAATCAGAATTGGAATCAAAATTCAACAGAATCGGAATTTGAATGGTTTATTCCTCCTGTCTGTTTGGTTTACACAGGAATCAAATGGGATGGATTCTCATTCCCAAGAGAGGGGGAGGTAATGATCATTCCCTCAAATGGAAGAATGTCATTTCACAAAAAATGGAAATGAGATTTTGATTCTTCCCAACCAAATAGTTAAAATCAGAATGGACCATTTTAATTCCAATTCCAGACATCTATTCCCATGAACCAAACAAACCCTTAGAGTCATGGCCCCTTTTTAACTAGGAAGAGAGCGGAGCTCTGGATCCATATTGTATAACATTTGATGTTAGCACTATAACTAAAAGAACATGGGTCATTTTTGTTGTTAGAGAGTTATAGTTTACCTCCCCCTTTCTATAATTAAAGTTTCACAAATCTTATTAGTAAAGATTATTGTTATCGATAAAAAAAAAAACATGGGTCATTTTTAAACATTTCAAGGTCCTTTTGGTTCGTGGTGGTCAGAATTGGAATCAAAATCATTGGAAATCGGAACCGGAATGGCTTATTCCTATAATCTGTTTGGTTCATACAAGAATGGAAATGAGAATTAGAATGAGCAGAAATGAGATTCCATTCCCAAGGGAGGGCAAGGAATGGCCATTCCCTCAAATAGGGGAATGTTATTCCAGACTTTCCAGCAAGAATGAGAATGGAGATCCGATTCCGCCCAACCAAATAGTTGGAATCGGAATAACCCATTCTGATTCCGATTCCAGACCCCTAATATCATGCAAAATCATTAGATAGAGATTAACGAGAGATGGACAATCTCCACTAACAGCTTCACTGCTCCTGGTTTCGGATAGAAGTGTACCAAAACTTCAATCCATCACCTAATAGTAATACGTACCTAATAGTAATACGTATCAATGGAGACTAATTTACTAAGGGTCCGTTTGGTTCAAAGTTGGAATTGAAATTGGAATCGAAATTATCTACTCCCCTCAACTGTTTGGTTCAGGCTGGACTTAAAATCGAAATCAGAATTGACTGGAATGAATTCCCATTCCCAAGGGAAATGGAGGAATGTCATTCCAACAGGAATAGAAATGAGATTCCGATCCGACCCAACTGATTTATTCCCACAAAACAAATGGACCCTAAATCTTGTTTGTCAAGTGTTTTATCTATACTATATATAAAAGTGTGAATGTGGAGTAGAAGTTTTTTTGGACTAAAATTACCTTATATTTCTTTGTTTGAGAAAGGGCACAACAGTCATTTTTTATTATAACTTGAATGTTAGATTTAATAGCTAATATAAAGCCCATATTTAAGTATTTAATCCATCTTTAATTGTAAGGTTCAAAATATAACTTCAATTATTACTTTTCACCTCATTTAATCTCTTCTAATTAAAAAAATATAAAATATAAAAACAAAAAATATATACATAAAATTTATAAAAAATTGTGGATATATTATTACTCTCATTATCATTATCTAGAATTGCCATATGCAAAGCACGTGTATACTTACTAGTACATTTATAAGTGTCCCAATCAAATACATTGAGTAGGTTGTATCATTCTTTCAAGAATGCTTCACCCTCCATTCTCTAATGTGAATCAACCAAGTGCCTAATAAATGTGTTTAAACTTAAAACCTAGCAGTTAGCCCTTTGAAGAATTAGACTTTCTGAGTCCAATGCATAACTAACCGTTTTTAGCCCTTTGGCCCAATTTCCTTTACTGTATTTGACCCAATTTCCTTTCTTTTCCTTTCCCCTTCATTTATTTCGAACCAAACACAGCCTTATGACAAACATGATTCAATGTCTCAAACTCTCAATTAGCATATATCTGGAAAAATGCAAAAATAATCTTGTGGAGGACGATTCACATCATAGGGTCTAGACAATGGGTTGGCACTTGGAAGTTGGAATACATGTCAATGTCAAACTTCAAAGCCTCGAACATCAACCCTCTATCATTCTTTGACCTAAAAAGGAGGGACCCTCCAGAGAAACATTTCTCCGGGAAAATGAAGCCTAAGGCAAACTGATCAATGGGGCTCTACAATGTCATTATCCAGGTAGCTTGCTTGAATCGATTTTAGCAGTAACCAAATTGCTGCATGGTGGTCAGGTCCTCAATGGCCACCACCTGACCACTAGTCAATAGTTGGCATCTTCTCAAGTATGAGCAAAGTGATTCTTTTCCCTTTTTGTCCAGGTACAGATTAACAAGTGCACTGATTATTCTCAAGTTTCTAAGAAACAAATATTCATCCTTGTAATAAAAAAGAGAGTTGAGCTAATCGGCTCCTAGGTTCAACTTTTGCTTCCCATATCACCATTCTCATTGACTCAACTCACGTAACTCCCCTCTCTTTCCCTATGAGATTTCCCATGCATAACAAGGTAACTATCAATTACTTGCAGGTGAGATATGCCACCTAGCTAGAGGCTTTAACATCATCACTTCAACTAAGTTTCCATTTTCTCAGCTTTTATTCTCAGTATCACAGAGGTTCGAAATTTTTCATGCAAAAAGAGAAAAAAAAACACTGCTGTAACACTCCCACCTTCATATATCCTGGAAAGAATTTTGGCTTACAAGTTACACCCCATGTCAGAGAAAGCAAGTATCTGATCCCCTTTGTTCAAGCCTATACTTCCCAGACAATAGGGTCTCTTGCCAGCATAAAGCACGTTAGGAAGAACTTGTCAGTACAAATCACTTCGGAATTCAGATGCAATGAAATTTAGAATTTTCAATTGCTTCGACCAGAACATGGTATATACAAAGCAAATATATCAATATTGGATTGGTGGTTTCTTTCTTTCTTATTTGGAATGAGATACAAAAAACAGTACTAATTGGGGTGTAACTTGAGTCACGTGGGTTGAGCATTTGTTAAATTTTGAATGGGCCTGAACCTAAGTGACTGAGTCTGGTGTAATTGAAACTCTTCAAATCTGGCAACCTAATTTGCGTCCCTATTTCAAAAACTGTTGAGCATATTCCATGTAAAATAAGAAGATATAACAAGACAAATCCCAATTAATGGAACAAATCATATAAACACAACTAACGTCTTTGAACAAGAAATGAATCAAAAGCAAAATTTTATTGTGTTTCACATATAATAGATTATAGAAAGCTTTGCATGACAAAAACCATACAGGCATATACATGCTACAAGCATATGCTGTACTATGTGAATATGATTGAGAACATTCCCATGTGATTAATATTAAATACTTCTACAGCCCCAGATTCCATGGGTCTCTGTAACTGATTGCACTGCAAAAATCACATCATTCATGTTGTACTATATTAATGTTGGGCTCTGGAATCAATAAAAAATATTAAAACTTATTTTGGGTAGCCAATAATAAATATTAGAATGAAGTTGCAATGAACTAAGGGCAGCCATGAACTTCTAAAAGCCGAGCTTTCATTTTAAAGAGAATAATCAAAAGATAAAGGTATGGCCAACAATAAAACCATCAGCATCCATTAATCCATTTTCTCAGCAGTCAACTTGTCCTAACCTCCTCTCCCCCTCCCAACAAAAAAGGCCAAGAAATCAGCCTATCAGATAGAGTAAGTGTTGCACACAGGTTTTGAATCTTTTGATTTGTGATTGATACATATGCTACAAAATTCCAAAATGGACCTTGAATTTCCTAGATTTTTTGTGAATAGAAAAGAGTTCAGATATTTACCTGGTTGAATAGCACCATTCATCTTAACATGTACATGGAAGCCGTTGTTGGACAAAAAGGAAAACAATTATAATATCTACATAATCCATGCCTAAACATAAAAAGAAGTTATCCTCAAAATATGCACAAGTTCATCAGTGAGGAGAAATGATCTATTGCAAGTTGAAGGGTCTAGATGAGCTAAGGGCAGGCCAAAAAGTATATAGATTGAAGTAGTTAAAAATGGTCTGAGGACGAAGGTTCATAATTTAACAACAAATATGTTACTAAACAGCATGGAATGGCAGAACAGGCATCATGTAGTTGATACCATATAGATGGGGCAAGCCTTTATTGAGTTGAGTAGTTGAGGCTGTATTCATTTATGTATAAGGGACATAAAACAAGGTTTTGGTCATACAAGGGCCAAATGTATAACTGAAATTTTACAGATGGAAGATCTTCTGTACTTCACAGTGAAACAAATGGAGCCATAACAGTAAAGAATGCAATTTTTGAATTAGAAAGGATCAACGCAGACAGGGATGCATTTTTAACCGAGAGAATTCCTAATGCAGTAAGGAGATTTAGAAGACAGAAAACTAATCAAACAGTGCAAGGGGAAGAAGACAAAGAAAGCCTGGTAGGTGTCTCTGTTTTAAGGTTGGTTTCAGACAAAGAAAAGAAAGTTTGGTTTCAGACAACGGAAGCACTGAGGAAATGAGTAAAGTGTGATGTTTGAGTCTCGTCAGAATAGGTTTCTGGGTTCAGGGTAGGTGTCTCTATTTTAAGGTTGAGATAAAAGGTTAGGTGGGAGTGAGCAGTTTTGCTTGCTTTTATGAGTTCAATGGAAGGAGGTTTTTATCTGTTTCTTGGGTTTTTCAGTTTTGGTTGGGGTAGGGATCTCAAAATGTAAGTGATTATCTTAGGGTTGTTTTCTTAAGGTCTAAGGGGTTAAGTTGATAGTTTTTCCTGGGTTGGGTGATGTCTTATCACCTGGTTGTATCCTCCTTTTTCTGTTTCATTAATAAATTTAATTCTTTATTTATCTTCAAAAAAACAATAGTAAATATGTGCATCACATGTTGATTGTTAAACAGCGAATAAAGGAAGAAACAATTGATCTTCTACTCTTCCCTCATCAGATGCCAACTGATCAAAGATTACAAAGTCGTGTGAAGTCAGTCATATAAATCCAGGGCAAATAGAATTGGTTCAGTCTAATAAAACTGGAGCTGAAGCTTTATCCAAGTGAAATAAGATCATATTCTAATGCATGTATCCCTGCAAGTAGCACAAGAAGACACTTGAAAGAAAGCACTCATTATCAATAAAGTCTAAGTAAGTTGATATTTGCTACTGTTTTCATTAAAACTTTGGGAGACTACTATTTTTGTGAGGGAATGGATGATAAAACTTGACAACTATTGGTATTCCAAGTACATGATCACACTATCAAGTACATGTAGTTGAAGAAGGGCAAACACAAAATACTATAATATATGAAGTTATGAACAACCAAGTAAGGTAAGAGCACTGAACTAGTACTTGTGGACTTAGAGTTGCAAACTCAAGGCAGGGATGTACACAATATTAAGACTTAGACTTTGCAAGAGGAAGCAGAGAATACAAAGTGAACCGAAGTTTTTAGTTCCAATGGCACTGGAACACAAAACATAGAACCAAACTGTACAAAATGAGATAGTAATTATCAACAAGAGAACCATTTATTTCAAGAAGCATCTGAATAATTGATACCATCGTTCATGTAGCAAAAAGACCTCATGACCTCCCCCATTAGCAAATCATGATTCTGCAACAAGATTTCTCTAATCCGCCATCTGCTTCATATCTTCTCAATCTTGTTGGCCTTCACAACAGGATTTGCTTTCGCAATTGCATCTTGGCCTGCAGTCTTATAATCAAAGAGACAGTTGTGCTTGTCAGAGTAGCGATGCAGAGAGCAGAACGTTTGGCCGCAGCGACACTTGAAACCCGTCAGTCCCACACGCTTCTTACAGAAGCTGCAACGATTGGCAGGCAGCTTCCCGGGATCCCCAGACGTGGTTCCTTCCTCAACCAGTGTAGCTTTAGCTTCTGGCCCAACTCCAGACTGACCTTTTGTTTCCACGATAGATTCACCAACCTTCTTCTCTGCAACTACAGTAAGAGCAGCAACAGCCTTCGATTGCTTTAGAAAGAAATCTCTGTAGCATTTCGAGCATAGGTTATTGGTTGCGGGAGATCCAAAGAACCCGCAATTGTTCGCACAAAGAATCGGAACATTTGGAGTTTGACATCCATTCTCACCAACTTCTCTCTTTTGCCCCTCTTGCTCCATATCGATGAAGAAAACCCTAGCCAACTCAATCGACTAACAAATAATAAAAACTCTAAATTCCTCTCTCCAGCAGCAAAATAAAAACCCAAACAACTTTCAATTCAAAGGTACAAATTCAATCCTCCAATGAATTAATCCAGAAACATAACGAACGGGCAGTCCTTAAAACTCCAAAACCCTAATCAAGACAAACCCAAAAACAGAAATAAAAGCTGCTAAATTTCCAACCAGGATATTAATAAATGCCTCACCGCTGGCCATGACCGGAAGTGGAAACGAGAACTCGAGCTGATTCAGCTTCCAACCCCATCTTCTACCCGAAGCCAGGAGAGGAATCTATCCAGAGACGAGAACCGAAGCTCGAAATCTCTGGATTCTCAAACCCTAATCGAGTAGTAAATAAAGAGCAGAAAAAGCAATAGCAAAAGACGAAAAAAATAGAAACTTTATCGCGAGGAGAATCCAACAGTTGAATTTAAGATGTCGGTGTCATGGAACCAGACTGATTTCGATGATCTCCACCATCCCCTCTGTTCTTCTCTTCCTTTATTTCAGGTGATCTTGACTGGACCAATCTGTGGAGATGGACGGTAGGGATAGATCAGAAGAGAGGAGAGATCAGAGATCCTCTCCCCGGAAGAGTCGAAGCTACACAGGAAAACTACTGGGGTTCGGGAAGGAGGCGGAGATTGTATCCAGAATTGGAGTTTCGCGGTCACCCCTGCCCGCTGCCCATGGCAACGTAAAGCTGACGCGGCCGTTCTTCGAAATACAGGGCACAACAAACGAACGGTAAGGAAAGGGACGAGGTGTACAAGTACGACGTCCATGATTATGTCACCATCACCATGCCTGCTCGCACGTGGGGTTGCGTGTTGGACCGATAGCGGTCTACATGGGTTGGCCCGGCCTAATACCCATTTGAGTACATTTATTATGGGCTGGACTCTGATTCCATGTGTTGGGTGTATCATAAGCTTCTCAGTTTTCACAAATAATAATAATCGTATACGTGAAAATACGTGATAATTCTAAATGATCATAAGGATAGTAATAATATATCTAAAAAGTTCTACAAAATATAGTTTTGATTTTTTGTTTTTATATGTTTTTTGTTTTTTATTATTAATTGGATGTAAATTGTAAAATTCAAATTTGATTATATAAATACTTCATCTAAATATGTGATAATCGGACCAAGTTGTGAAGTTTCAAGTATCATTGACATATTTATCTATTTGGTTAGATTCTTCCTTTTATAATATTTTATTTTTTTGGTGTTTTTTTTTTCTATTCAATTGTCAAAAGATGTAAGATTGATATAAGGGATTGAATGAGGTGAAAAGTAGTAATTCAATTTACAATTTAAATTGTAGTGTAAATAGTCAAAAGAAAGCTTCATAATCTTATTTATATTTTTAATAGTAGTGTAAATATAAATTATATGTGTTCAATTTTTTCCATATTTTTTTTATATTTCTATGTAAAAATAATTTTGATATGTCACACTTAATTTTTTTTTAATATGATAATTAATTAATATTATACATGATGTACCTAAGGCTCCGTTTGTTTGTGATACAAATGCCAAACTAGGGTATTTATGTACCCATGTTCGCGTTTGTGGTCGTTTATTTGATATATAAAAAAGTAATGATTATCAGATAAAAAATATATTTTCTAACACTTTTGTACTCTGATAGGAGATCATTATTGTACCTATTTTTTGGATACAATTTTGTTTTCTTTTAATAATTAACTTTTTTACCAAAGTTAAGGCATTGGAGCATAAGATATTTTGAGCATTTAATGATGGGCCCACACTTTGCACCGATTTCAAACAAACAAGATGAATGCAAACGATTTAAAATGTGAACCATGTTTACATTCATGAACCGAAAAAAGGGTAAATATGTAGTGTACATAATTGCATTTGCATTGCAACCAAACGCAACCTAAATATTTTTTTTTTGCAACATTTATGTTTTTTTATATTTTTGTATTTTATTTTATTAAATTTTATTATTTATTTATTTATGACACTAAATGTCAATACATTTGACCAAAAAGTTGAACTATTGATCTTTGACAAATAGTAAAATAATCTCACTTTTGGTTAATTCTAAAGTATGCATTTCATTTTCATTATTAATAAAAATAATTCTTTTTATTACACTTATTTTTTTTTAATTTCTACATTTTTGTAATTTTCTATATTTATTTTTATTTAAAAAAATTATTACCTAACTATGACTTCATAGGTTTATCAAATTGATTCAAATGGTTGAATTGCTTAGTCACCACTTAGATAAAGAATGTTCTTGTTTTTTAACCAGTTTTAAAATATATGAATTTATATATATTGTTAAAAATCTTGGCATAGATCTAATTAGTATCATTTATTGGTGAAAAATAACTTAAATATATGATGTAATAAGAGAAAGTGGGAGATAATACTTTTAAGTATAAGACTTAATGAGAATGGATTAAATAAGGTCAAAAGTAATAATTGAAATTGCATTTTCAACCCTTACAATTAGATGTAGATTAAATACACAAATATAGTCATTATAGTACCCATTAAAGCCAACACTAAAGCTATAATAAAATAACTTTTATACCCTTTCTCAAACAAAGAAATAGAGGGTCATTTTAGTCCAAAAAAAGTTTCACACTATATTCACACTTTTATATATAGTATAGATATTCAAACTAAACTTGTGAAGATTGAGCTAGGTATAAATAGAGCTTCAATCTAAACCCTATTCGAATGGAACTTGGATCATGAAGCTTGCGAGTGGAACTTAACATTATATATAATATTTTTAATTCTTTATATGAATAATAAAAAATAATTTTTATATGTATAATTTTTTTTTTTTATGTGGAGTTTAGTTTAGTGTTGAATTTGAATTGAACTGAACTTAAACCTATAAACTTTTGAATTGAGGCGAATTCAAGTTTAAATCTTTAGTTCAAATCGAACTCAAACTTGAACTTGAACCTCATTTTCTTTATTGAGCTGAACTCAAATAGCCAAATATTTCATATTAATTTGAATCCACCCACTTAATTTCTCAAAATATGAGGGGCCATGATGTTGAAGTTGGATCTATTATAGACCCAATGATTGATCGCCACCTATTTGGTCTTCTCATGTGTGGTTTACTTAATTGAATCCATGGTTAGGCTAATAGTTTTGCCATTTATCTTTTAATTTGCATAGTCCAATAATCCCATAATTGTAGTTTTTTTCTTCCCATCCTATTTTTACTCTTCCTCATACTCTCTTCCTTTGCCCAAAACCGAATCTATTGTTTTTCTTCTGTACAAACTCAACTAAAACAATCAAAACACTTTAATTAAAAGAATCCAATCCCATCAGTTCCAAAAAAGTCAGAGATCCATATTAATCAATAGTTGAGATCTTTTTACTTCTAATTGGGTTTTGAATCTTTGTGTAATTGGATTTTATGTTGTTGTATAATCTTATTTGGAATGTAACATGAAGATAAACAGTTGTAATAGATTGATTCATTACATTAACACTTTGAATGTAGATAATATGTATTGGGTAAGTGTTCATTCTACTTTGAATACTGGCATATTTCAATAATATAAGTTAAATGGATTATTTGAATATGATTTCCCTTCTTTTGAACGCCATTGTTTTTAACAAATAATTATTAGGGCAAATTTCTTAAGATACCCCTATGGTTTGGGAAATCAGCTCTAACCCTATTGTTTATATATTGTCTTAAAATATCCTTAAGTTTTCTAACAATTGTCTAAACCTCCCATTGCTGTTAACTTTTCGTCACACTACATTTACATGCACTCCGGATTCAGTACGTTTGGACTCGAAAGAATTTTCTCTTTGAGTTCATTAAATTTTTGACACGTCATTCGGTGCTCTACTTACCATTACTTACAACCGGTTGAAAATGTTATGACTGTCAAAATTAGTTTTAAATAAAAAATTGATAACTAAGTTAAATTATGAATAGAAAATTTCAAAGCCCTCTCGTTCCTAGACTCTAGCCTTTCTCCCCCAACCCCACCATTAACAGCAACAAGCCTTCATCAACGGTGTTCAAATCGCAACAGAACGACGACTGTGGATTTTAACGGCAACGGCAACGGTGTTAACGGAAAGTTTCAAGCATCAAGAGTATTCAAAGGAAAGCTGGTATCCGTGTCTAGGGTTTTCCATATTTCCTTCTTGAATGCTGATGACATAATCTTTTATTTTTATTTTCTTTTTAATTCTAGTAGATAGTAATGTTGTATGAATGTTTCAAAGTATTTTTCTCTTAATCTATTTTGTATTTCTTTTTGGTTTTTTGCCCTATTTTTCATTTGTTGTTTGTGTTAACTTGTATTCATTGTTCAGCATACACTATTATTTATAGAATTTCAAAAGTGGAAAATCTAATGGTAAAGGAGTTTTTCTTCCCACATGCCATAAACTTGCTACACCTTTCAGGTTTTGACTATTTTCTTGACATCCGATTGAAGCAAAAAGCAAGATAGTTGAAAGTCTTTTTAGCTATTGGGCATCCCAGCACCATTTTTTTTTTAATCTCTTCCGAACACACATACCTATATTGGTAATTAGTAATATTAATTGAAAGAACCATTCACTTGAATTTCATAGTTTAAAATGAGTTGCTCTGTATGTGAGAGGGATGATTGACTCTATGTGAACACCAAACAACTCAAAAGTATCAAACATTTCTCCCCAAGCAGTTGCCAATTCTTGAGTTTTTTTTTTATTAAATTCAAAAGTTGTTTTTTTTTTTTGTATTCCTGAAAATCTAATTATTACATGTCTCCCATATAACATGACAAACAACCATGGAAAGAAAAAACCACAATTTTATTTCCCATTTTATGGATGGGAGATTGCTGAGTCAACTCCAAATATGTATCTTGTATTTTATTACTAACTCAAAAAATTAAAACAAGGTATGTTCATTTTTTGTTTTTTCTTGCATAATTGATGTTGGCACTAAAATTTATTTACTTTTTGCTCATGTGGAAAATCAACTATTAAACCCAAGTCTACTGCCATCCAAATAATGAAAAGGTGTCACAATCATTGATCTTATATATATTATACCTTACATTTGGGGTTAAAATTTTTTTTTCACCAACTAATAATGTCTTATTTACATATTCTATTCTTAAAACAATAATCTTGGTACTAGAAGTTGTTACTCAAATTTTCTCTAAACACCTAAAAAATGAAAAACGATGGCATCCCCAACTTTTAATTATTAATAAGGAAGATTAGAAAACAAAACAAAAACAAAGAATGATAAATGTAAAGTCATTGGTCCATTTTGTTATTTTGTGCTTGCTATGTATCTCATTTGCAATATATGGCTGATTCTCATTTCATTCAAATATTTTCAATATATCATTTATGAAAATTGGGTTTGACATATTTTCTTTCATATTCATTAGGTCAATTTATCAAGTTACTTGCATTGAACTACCAATCACTCTCTCCTAGTATTGACAGATCTCACTATTCATATATCTAAATGTAAGTATATTTCAATTAATCATATTTATTTGGTATGTTTAAGTAGCTTATAAAGGAACTCCTAAATTTATTATTTTTTTATTAAAGGTCAAAAGAAACAATTTGTGGTGGAGAAGAAGACGGTTCATTTGATATGGATAATATTTATAATGGTGGAGTAGCACGCCAATTAGAGTTTGAAAGTGAAGATGATGAGGTTGAAAACTTTGAAACTTTGGATGAGCCAAGTC